ACAGGTAAATATACACCACCTTTCATGTTAACTCTAAATAAAATTGCAGTGTTATAAGGTCACATATAGTCCAAGAATGACAGTCCCTTTTTAGGACACCTCATTCACAGCAAGCAAACCGAGTCAGGGAATTCTAGCCAACCAATGGTTTAGCTGCCAATAAGGTGGCCAATGAGAGGCTTTGTTTTCCTCTGAAAGCCCATCGCTAGGGTTAGAAACATTATAAAAGCACCAAAAAAGCCCTTATAGTTCCTGCCAAAATGAGAGCTGGACAGCAGGGAAAACATAGAATCCTTTACTCTAGAATGAGAAGTCTCCCAGACTAATCAGCCCACCCGAACTCAGTCACAATTCACTCCCATGGTTATCTGATTCAGATTCAGTTTTTTTGTCAATTTTCAGCCAGTTCAGCCAAAATGCCAATATGTATACAGATGTGTTTGAGCAACATTGGATTTACTTGCTGAAGCAACCCATCTGCAAAACAATAGATCAAATGGTTTACAAAAGTATTAGCTATGCAAGAAGCATGGAACAGTGATTCATTGGAGCTTGATACACATTTGGAGCACTGAGCAATCATGTGTGATCAATCACTACAATCACGTGATCATCTGCTTGAGCTATTGAAAGAAATATTGGTGCTGCCAGTGCTGATCTCCTTGTGAATTACTAGTTGCCTGGCTGTCTATGGCTTAAATACTGATGCTGGCCTGTAACAATTATGCAGGTTAGAATGTCAGAACTCAAAAACTGCACTTTTTCCAGGTCAGCGACTCAGAAAGTGTTAAATTCACCTGACAGGCAGACAACTGGCATTTATGAAAGGAAAAATCACAACTATCATGCTTTATATTCTCTCGGTACAGGTTTCCCTTAATTATAAAGGTTGAAGTTGTTGCTTTGAGGTTAGGGGTTTATGGTTAATTCTATCTAAAAAGAATATTTTATATATATATATATATATATATATATATATATATATATATATATACATATATATATATATAGAGGTGAAACTCAAAAAATTAGAATATCGTGCAAAAGTTCATTTATTTCAGTAATACAACTTAAAAGGTGAAACTAATATATGAGAGAGACTCATTACATGCAAAGCAAGATAGTTCAAGTCATGATTTGTCATAATTGTGATGATTATGGCTTACAGCTCATGAAAACCCCAAATCCACAATCTCAGAAAATTAGAATATTACATGCAATCAATAAAACAAGGATTGTACATAGAACAATATCGGACCTCTGAAAAGTATAAGCATGCATATGTACTCAGTACTTGGTTTGGGCCCCTTTTGCAGCAATTACTGCCTCAATGCATCGTGGCATGGAAGCTATCAGCCTGTGGCACTGCTGAGGTGTTATGGAAGACCAGGATGCTTCAATAGCGGCCTTCAGCTCTTCTGCATTGTTCGGTCTCATGTCTCTCATCTTTCTCTTGTCAATGCCCCATAGATTCTCTATGGGGTTCAGGTCAGGCGAGTTTGCTGGCCAATCAAGCACAGTAATCCCATGGTCATTGAACCAGGTTTTGGTGCTTTTGACAATGTGGGCAGGTGCCAAGTCCTGCTGGAAAATGAAGTCAGCATCCCCATAAAGCTCGTCTGCAGAAGGAAGCATGAAGTGCTCCAAAATCTTCTGGTAGACAGCTGCGTTGACCCTGGACTTAATGAAGCACAGTGGACCAACACCAGCAGATGAAATGGCTCCCCAAATCAACACAGACTGTGGAAACTTCACACTGGACTTCAAGCATCTTGCAGTGTGTGTCTCTCCATTCTTCCTCCATACTCTGGGTCCTTGGTTTCCAAATGAGATGCAAAAGTTGCTCTCATCAGAAAAGAGGACTTTGGACCACTGAGCAACAGACCAGGTCTGATTTTCTTTAGCCCAGGTAAGATGCTTCTGATGTTGTTTGTTGTTCAGGAACGGCTTGACAAGGGGAATACAACATTTGAAGCCCATGTCCAGGATCCGTCTGTGTGTGGTGGCTCTTGATGCACTGACTCCAGCCTCAGTCCACTCCTTGTGAAAGTCCCCAACATTTTTGAATGGCCTTTTCCTGACAATCCTCTCCAGGCTGCGGTCATCCCTGCTGCTTGTGCACCTTTTTCTTCCACACTTTTCCCTTCCACATAACTTTCTATTATAGGCTTTGATACAGCACTTTGGGAACATCCAACTTCTTTTGCAATTACCTTTTGAGGCTTTCCCTCCTTATGGAGGGTGTCAATGATGGTTTTCTGCACAACTGTCAGGTCAGCAGTCTTTCCCATGATTGTGATTCCTACTGAACCAGACTGAGAGACCATTTAAAGGCTCAGGAACCCTTTGCAGGTATTATGGCCTAATTAGCTGATTAGAGTGGGACACTTTGAGCCTAGAATATTGCACCTTTTCACAATATTCTAATTTTCTGAGATTGTGGATTTGGGGTTTTCATGAGCTGTAAGCCATAACCATCACAATTATGACAAATCACGGCTTGAACTATCTTGCTTTGCATATAATGAGTCTATCTCATATATTAGTTTCACCTTTTAAGTTGCATTACTGAAATAAATGAACTTTTGTATGATATTCTTATTTTTTGAGTTTCACCTGTATATACTGTATATCCTTGATTTCTCATATTCAGATGGTGAAAATTCTGCCAGTCCTGATTTCAACTGTGTGTCACAGAAATGTTTTGCTGTAGCTTGACAAGTGTGGCACATATGTTAAACAGCATATTCTTTTTGTAAGATGCAAAGATTAAAAAAAAAACAAATCCCAACATTTGTAAGTGCCATATAGGGAGCATTATAGGTCCAGAAGACACCTGCGGATTTGCTTCTTTCCAAAGGGACGATTTACTGCATATCCAAATAAATACCCTGCACTTACCTCTCCGTCCTGCACAGGTGTAAAAAATGGCCACTCTGCAAACCTGAATGCTTCTGTTTATGCTGAATCCACCCCAGGAGGGCAGTCATATATGTCTACACATCTAAACATCTTTTTAAATCTCTGGACACTTTTAATAGAAAACTATTTCTTTCCTTGTCACAACTCTAGACACATTTTTTTTCTTCTTTTTTATACTTTTGAAGGGGAGACATGGGGAGGTAATTTAACCTATTTTTTTTATTCCAGTTAATTCAAAGGGATGAAAAAAAAGTGAAAACTTTGTTGGGACAGAGACAAAAGCAACAAAAACATATTTAGTAGAGTGGTAAAGGATTTTATTTTTTAATAGAGAGCAGAAGGGCTAGAACATTTGGTTTTTATTGGTGCCTGTGTCTTCTTAACCTGTTTGCCACATTTCTTCTCCAGGTATCACAATGATAAAAGTGATGTGGAATGCCCCCTGTGAAATTACCGACAGCAAAAAAAACCTAAAAAATTATGGGCTCTAGCCCATGCTTTGTTCAAAACCAGAAAAGAAAAAGTGTTTTGTTTGGATTTGAACTGTAGAGCTTTAATTATATAGTAGATCAAGTCTGGTGATATCTGTATGCATAGTCCTGGCATATAAGTCCCTTAGAGTATTAATTCATGCAGTCAGTCCTATGACCTATAACATGTTATCATATCAAAGCTAAATCCCCTGTATCTAGCATCTCATTAATTCTGAATGATTTGCTTCAGTTCAGCTAGTATTAATACATGAAAATTTTAGTGTGGGTTTTCAGAAATATAAATCTTCTTTATGCTGTGCATCCTACTGTTTGCCTAGTGCAATCTGAATGCATTTAAGTACTTCAGAAATAAAAGAAAACAGGTTGTCTAAAGTTAGGATTAGTACATTAAAATTTTCTCTTAAGGTGAATATAAAAATAGCTATTTTCATTGTTAGAATTCAAGAGCAGTGCCTGTGAGCTAAATTACATATTGAGAGTCTTGAAAGCAGAAAAATTACTTGCTTAGAACATTGATTGCTATGTTACTCTATTTGCAATGATTTCAAAATGCTTTTGATAAATGTGGAAGCAAGGAGTAAATATTACACTTAAAAAGCAAACTGGATTGAAAATGACCATGAAGGCTTTAACATTATAATCAACCATTAATGTTTTCTGCCTACTGAAATCTAAATTTTAATATGCTATATTTTATTCTAAATTGGGCAAGGTGGCTATATTACAGTAGAGTTAACAAAATAAGATAAGTAATATAAAATGACAAAATATTTTCAAGGCAGAAAAACTTATTTAAAGCATCTACAGTATATGTAGTACATTGATTTGGTGTAACTAAGAGCAGGTTTTTGAACGCATCAGTAAAACTTATATTTTCTTTTATGAACAAATAAAATTATATTATTTGGTTTGAATTGGAAAATGAGAATTTTGCTGCTAAATGACAGGCACAGAACACCCAGAGAATATCCTTTGTAAGTCTTTGAGTTTGCAAAGTTTTAAATTTGAACAAGTTTGGGATGAACTGCAGCCGATGGAAATTGGGGATATTTTTTAGTTTTTTACTTTTCATGAGACAATTCCAAATAACTTTGCTTATGTTCTTTTTAATTTTAGTATCATGATAACTGAAATATAAATTAAAATAAATGTTTTTGATCAGGCAAATAAATATTTTGCATTTCATTTGCAGCTTTTATAGAGCTCAGTAGCCAGAGCTGAACTTTTTATGCACAGTTGAATGATTAAGAGCAGTCACATATCCCCCTGCAACCTCCTCACCTCAGTATGGCTCCATCTGAAGTTTGAAACAGTAAAAGTGCATGCTTTAACCACTAGCCTACAGGGCACTTATACCCCCTTCCTGCCCAAGCCAATTTCCAGCTTTCAGCACTGTCACACTTTGAATGACAATTGCGCGGTCATGCAACACTGTACCCATATGAATTTGTTATCATTTTTTTCTGACAGATAGAGCTTTATTTTGGTGGTATTTAATCACCTCTGGGTTCTTTATTTTTTCTTAAACAAACCAAAAACCACTGAAAATTTTGAAAAAAAAAAGTTTTTTTCTTAGTTTTTGTTATAAATTTTGTAAATAAGTGATTTTTCTCCTTCACTGATGTGCGCTAATGAGCCTGCAGTGATGGACACTAGATAGGCTGCATTGATGGACACTGATAGGTGGCACTGATGGGCACTGATGAGGAGGCACTGGTAGGTGGCACTTGATGGGCATTGACAGGTATCACTGATGGGCACTGAAAGGCAGCACTCATATATGGCACTGGTAGGCGGCACTAACTGGCACTGATAGGCGGCACTGACTGGAACTGTTAGGCGGCACTGATAGGCAGCACTGACAGGCACTGATAGGTGGCACTGATACACAGTGAGAGGCAGCACTGACTGGCACTGATAGGCGGCACTGACTGGCACTGATAGGTGGCACTGATTGGCAGCACTGATAGGTGGCACTGACTGGCATTGATAGGTGGCATTGACTGGCACTGATGGGTGACACTGAAAGGCAGCTTAGATGGGCACTGATATGTGGCATTGATGTGGCACTGATGGGCACTTAAATGTGGCACTGATTGGCACTGGCAGGTGGCATGGATGAGCACTGAGAGCTGGCACTGATGGACACTGACAGGTGGCGCTGCTGGGGCTACACAGATCAGTGCCCTGATGATCAGCGCACATGTCCCCTCAGAGGAATGCCGATTACCGGCTCTCCTCACGAGCTGTCAGCGTGACAGCTCGTGGGGAGAGAAATGCCTATAACTGGCATTTCTCTGTTTACATGTGATCAGCTGTGATTGGACACAGCTCATCACATGACCAAGCCAACATCTTCGGCTCTTCCGTGGATCGGTGATCCGCTGTGTCCGAGGGACACAGCGCACTGCCAATCGCCGCGCTGCGCACTCCGGGAGCCGCGCATGCGCGGTAAGAATGGGAGGACGTCATATGATGTCCTCCCAGAACGAGAGAACCACCTTGCGCCCATCATATTACTATATGGCGGGCGGTAGGCGGTTAAAAGAAGACAAGCACTGCTGTGTCCTTTCCTATAATGCTCTGGAAAATTTTGTCACATGTTAAATATTTCAAATACTGTTCAAAATGTTTCTCACAAAATTCTCCTCATCTCTCTGCTGGAGGGGATGTGGAAACGTAGGCACCATTTTATACATTCTATGGGCATGTAAAAACTTAACTACTTTCCGCCACAAAACCTTATAAATAATCGTAGAAAATACTGGTGTGTTGACAACTTGTGACCTAGCTTTATCCCTAGATAATTTGTGTATCTAGCGGTACAACACAATTGTAGTCCATATGATTTTGGCTGCTAAATCACTTCTTACCAGACTATGGAAAAAGGATTTGGCGCCCTATGGCTTTGAACTTATGGCTAAACTTAAACTGAACTATGAATATGAAAAAGCACTTGCAAGCAGAACTGATTCTTACTTAAGATTTGAGCAGGCATGGACTCCTTGGATAGACTGGTTATCTTCTTAATACAGAGTGATTTGTAATCTCACTTTGTTGGCAGTTGACAATTTCTATGTTTACCTTATTTCCTCACCCTTTCCTTATCTTGTGTCTTGAGACACTATAAGCATTATCTTCCTTTGTCTCTGTTAGTAGTCTCTTGTACCAATTTTTCTATATTATGCTATTCAGTGTTTTATGTAGAAAAGACCATTTGTTATACCTTGTTAGCTTTTATATACCTAATAAAAATGTATTTATGTACAAAAAAGTGTGAAAAACTTTTGAATAAATGAGCTTGATTCAGAAGCATTATAGTTTCCATTGTGAAAAAATAAGGGGCATCTGGCCTTTTCTGAGTTAGTAAAAATAACCATGAACTTTACTCCTTTACTACTGTATAAAATATATATACAGTGTGTGTGTGTGTGTATATATATATATATATATATATATATATATATATATATATATATACACATGTGTGTTTGCATATGTATGTATCTATCCCTTTCAAAAACAAGCATCAAGGGTTCCCTTTATGGGAGAATGTAGTTTGCATAAAATCCCTCCCATAAACTGCCCTCCCCACCCCAAATCCTTTTTATTTCCTGAACTATTAGAAGTGTGTAAGATCCAATTGGCTAATCATTGCCAGAAAAAAAAAAAACAACTTTTGAAGTATAAGATTAAGGCCCGGTTCACTAGTGCAGGCCATGCGACACTCCAGCCTATTCATTTGAATAAGCTGCCATGCCCACATTTCAGGAAAAGGTGCATGCACCTTTTTGAAAATGCATCAATACAGAAACCGCATGGTCTTTTTGTCCATGCGGTTCCCGCACCCACAATCACGCCGCGATCGATCGCTCTACAGGATGAGATGTGTGGGGATGCCATTTAGGATAACTTGTAAGATGTCTCAAAATGTCTCACAAGAGAAACGCGATACGGCTACGGGTAGTTGCAGATGCCTGAACAGGTGAGATTCCTACACCCGCAACCAGTTCGCAACTGCAGTCATAGTGTGAACCTGGCCTAAAATTGAGGGAGGACTGGAACTTCTGTTGAATCTTTACAGCTATCCACGTTTATGACAGAAAGATTTCACTTCCTGTTTTGGTGACAACAGTTTCAGCAGACAGGAGATGAGGGAAAATTTCCAACAGCAAAACATACGGAAATATAAATATTTTTTTAATATTCTAGAGGGAAACTAGAATCCTACTCAGCATTTATTGCTGTCTGTGTCTCTGTTGTTTTCCCTAATTCCCAAATGATAAAGCTGTTGCCACTGAGACAAGAGCAAGGGAAAATCTCCCTAACAGAGCAGCAGAAATCCAAGAGAGGTTCTAGATATTCTCCACTCTATTTGAAAATAAAAAAAGGAAGGTTTGTCCGGATAGCATTTTAAAGTTGATCTGTATTTAAAGGATGACTACTGCTGAATAGCTAGCAAATTTGTCAGGAGTCTGACTACCAAACATAGAACCCCATAGTAAAATTTTGATACCTCCCTATTCACTTTGCTCTGTGGCAACTGACAAACAATCGGCATTTTCTTTTATAGTTTTAGAAAGCCATGCAGGGTTTATTATAGAATGCTGGTTGAGTTGCCCAGAAGCTCTGTAAATCAATTATTCTACTCATAGAAACAGGAGCACCAAGCTGTACTGCTAAGGCACTCAGCAGCCTTTATAGCAGCTGAAAAAAGATGCTATTTCTCTTACAGAAATAGCAATGAATTCCTGCGATCCTGAGGATACTGCTCAGAATACTCACCAGATCTTCTTGACTGGAGACTTCACAGTGGATCAAGAGGAACTACAACCATTCCAACCCCTATTGATACACTACTGGATCTGTGTAAGATTTTGTAAGAATACTTTGCCTCAACAGTCTCCAGGCAGAACCTGCCTCCTACTCCCAGGCCCCATAGTAGCCTTTTTAGCTGCTATGGCTATATTAAAGCCACTGCCCATGACTACCAAAGTGTGCCTGATGGTGTGTATGACTAATTGGATCTAAGTACATTTAGCACCCTCCTAGATAGCTAGGGAGAGCTAGATTCTAAATTTTTAGATACTCAGTAGCAGCCTTTTGAGTTAGTCAGAGGGAGGTTAAATTCAATTCAGAGCTGGGAGGCTCTGCAGACCAGCTTTCTGGAACTCCCCCAGCTCTAAAGTTTTGGATAAAATTCTAGAAGCAGTGCTGGGAGGAGTGGCTGGTCTGCACTCTTGAGGGATCCTGACCAATCTCCAACAGGAGGTTTGGCATGGGGTCAGGAAAACCCTTAAGAATGACAGAGCCTGTACAGCAGCAGGAGCGTTTGGGTGGAAGATGGAGAAGTGAGAGGCTGGAGAGCAGGAGCCTGGGATGGCATTTGCCGAGCGCTAATACCATTAAACTTCATTATAGGCATTTGTGGTGCGGTTTTAACATTTGGAAAATGCCTCAAAAACACACATAGGGCATTTGGGGAGCATTTGAGGAGCGTTAAAAATGCCTGTCGTAATGCCTGTCAAACGCTATAGGGGCATTTGACAAGAGTTAGAAATTAGTCAAGTGTGAACAAGCCCGTACCCTTTGTCTTAACCCTTAAAGTGACAGGCACTGGATCCCCTGCCCAGGGATTCACCCAGAACAGCTGGATAGAGGAGTATCTAGGGACTGGGGTGGTACAACAGGAGATGCTAGCTAGCTCTGCAGAAGAGAAATGTTTGCTGTAAAGACTTGTATATAGTTCCAGAAAGTTTGTCCTCTCTTGCCATTCCCTTGGGCATCCCATACATCTCTTACCCCATCCGAGTTTATATTCCCCTAATAAAATCCAAAAAACAAGCTCAGAACTGGTTACTAATAGAAGAAAGAAAATAAGCGAGCGCTTAAAGTCTGTCAGCTGCTAAACACCAAAGGTACAAAAAAAAACCTCTAAAACTAATAATTAACAGCAGGGTGTAACACTAAAATATCCAGATATAATAATATAATAAAATGTAATAAAATGGGTGAGACCCAAAATATCAAAATCCAATGAATAAGTATGAGTAACTTAAAGATGGCATAAGAAATATATCATTATTGCATGTAAACACCTCAGATAAAACCAGCTAAGAGATGAATAGGCGTGATATGATATTGGCACATCAATAAATAAAGTAATGAACAGTGATCTAACGTGTCACTATACAGTGACTGATAATGTGCAAAGTACAAAATCAAAGTTCAATATTAAGTTCGTGGGAGATCATGACGATCTTCAGGATCCAGTAATCTGATCCAAATAGGATGGTGATAAATCTCAAAGTGTAAAGATTGCGCACTCACCAGATATGCAATCAATCTGCGCATTTAGAGATATCGATCTCAGAGAACTGGAAATCCCTTCAAGGTCTGGTCAGGCCTGGTATCCCTCACTCTCCGACATCCGCTGCCAGTGTTGGTGGCCCCGCTCTGTGGATGGTGTAAGCTCACAGGGAGCCCCAAAAAGAAGGAGGCCAATAGTGTGCTATCGTTTAAAAAAGGGGGGGTGTATTGCAACCAAAAGTAAAACAAATAACACTGACAGGGGATGGTAATCCAAGATGGCCGCCGGGACCAATGTGATGCCGGTGGCGTATCATCCTGATGCTGCGGCTCCTCCCTGAAGCGTTTGTGCAATGGCACGTATTCATAGGGGGTGTGCATACAGCAATGGACGCTTTACAATGCTTATATAGAGTAGCTGGCGCATGTGCTTTCCACGTGCGTCAATTCCCGATTGTTCCGTGCCTGTGCGCCAGCGCCATTTTGGCATAGTCGGCGGAATGGCACAAGCGCATTGCGCGCGAGCCAATGCACAATTATTCAATGTTTAAGCTCCAGCAACATTTTGGCGTAATCGGCGTGACAGCACATGCGCATGTTCGCACGCACCAATTCCCAAATGTGCAGTATCTATGTGCCGGCGCCATTTTGGCGT